TTGCTAGGATTGAGCACTGGGCTGAAAATAACAGAATGAAATTTATCAGGGATAAGTGCAAAGTCCTATACCTAGAGAAAAAAACAAATGCACAGTTACTGAGTGAAGTATCTCCCAACTTGTAATATGTCGATCACAAGCTAAATATGAATCAATGGTTGCGAAAAAATCAAAAGCTATTTTAGGCTGCATTAATGGAAATATAGTTTCCAAATACTGTGACATACTAGTTCCCTTCTATTTGGCACTGATTAGGCTTCATCTTGGTACTGTGCCCTGTTCTGGACACTGTACTTTAAGAAGGATGGCAACAAACAGGAATAAGTTTAGAGGAGTGCAACAAGGATGATCAGAGGACTGGAAACCAAGCCCTGTGAGGAAAGACTGAAAGATCTGGACATGTTTATCATAGAGAAAAGAGGATTGAGGGGAACTACAGTATAATATATTTTTCAAATATGTGAAAGGTAATCATAGAGAGAAGGGACAGGATCTATTCTCCACCATCCCAGAGTGCAGGACATGTAACAATGGGCTCAAATTACAGGAAATCACATATCAGTTGAATATCAGGAAAAACTGCCTAAGTGTCAGAACAGTACAACAATTGAACCATTTACCTCTGGAGATGGTGAGTGTTCCAGTGCTGGAGGCATTCAAAAAAAAAGAAGTTAGACAGCCACCTATCATACATACTTTGATTCGAATTCTTGCATTGATTAGGGGATTTAACTCAATCGCCTTATAGGCTCCTCCAAATTCCATTTTTCTACGATTCTACAATTGTGATACACTGTGAGATTTCTCTGCCTACCTCAGTCAAATTCTGTTCAGGCTCCTTCTTCAGGTCAAGCTATGAGGATACATTCTTGGGATTCAAACTTTCAACATTTATTTCTGATAAATCTAAAAACATTTGAACATCAACAAGAACAGAAGTTTCCTCCTCACAACAGTGTCAGGAAGGGCTCCATAATAGGGTTTTGGCCTATAAATAAGTTTTTTATGACAAAGTCCAAAGGTCTCAGTCCCAGTTCAGGATAAAAGTCTTATCAGTGGTGGGCTTGTGAAACTGATAGCAGGGACATTCTCATTCCTCAGAGCAAGGTTGTCCTGGGTTCATCAGTTCCCATGCAGTAGGGAGAGTTCCTGGCTCAGGCTGCTGCATTTCTGTATCTCCCCGTGTTTCAACCATCAATTCCTCTCCCATCTCTCTCTCTTTCTGTCTCAGCCCTCTCTTCTTTATTCCTCCTACCCCACTCAAGGGCTTCCTTTTCTCTCTGGTACGGTGGCCTTACCGGGACCACATCTCATCTCCTCCTTTCTTCCTCCTCCCTTGGCATCGTGAGTCTCTCCCACTTATGGTTCCATGGATTTTCAAGTTAAGTCCATTCCCAACCTGGTGGAAGATTCTTTGGCTTTACTCTAGTGTCCACTTCTCCACATCTACTACTGCTTTCTTTGACCTGACCTCCTTATATACATCTTCCCTCTTCTCCTCTTGTACTCCTGCCTTGTCTAACATTGCTGCCACCTTCCCTGATACTTTTCCCACATTTTCTGTTCTCTCTTTGGTTCTTTTCTTTCCGCAGTAGAGGCCATCACCCTTCTCCCCATTTTAGGTTTTCCCAGATTGGGGTCCATACCTTTCTCTAGAAGAAGAGCTGACACTTGGGCAGGGATGCTATCAGACCTGCCCCCAATCACAAACACAGCTAACCACATATTACTGTAGATGGTATATTAGCTGAAGTCTGTTTTTCACTGATATTACTTGAGACTTGTATGACAAGACTGCACCCACAAAAAATTCCAGATTCCAAACCTAATTTTTCATGCAAATTGCAACTTCACCTTCAACAGGCTGAAAACTGTACACCTTTCCCCTTGGTGGATAAACCATTGACCAGTAACACTTCTGTTTGAATTGAGTTTATCCATGTGTCTTTTTCTACATATTTTGCTTTAGAAGAAGATGATAGGTGTATTAATTTTTCCTGTTCTTTCCATAAGCTACTTGCAGTGGTGGTGGTGGTGTTTGAAACTGAAGCATGCCACTTTTGCAGGGTACACGGTGGTGGGCAGTGCTGTGGCCAGTTTTAGAAGAGTCAAAGGATGCCCATGAAGACTCCTTATTTAAGTGACTTGAACAAGTAACAGTTGCTGTGAATGTGATGATAGGGATAACAAGAAAGCTGACCTTGCTAAGAAGGCAATAAAGGCAGTTTTAAAAACCTATTACACTAAAAAGATGCAATTTAAATTCCTTCTGTTCCAATTTTGTTTATACTTGTAGCATATTTGTAACCTTTATATGATAAGTACTGTACATGTGAATTACGAACTGCACACTTTAATACCAAAATGGTATATTCAGTGTATGTTGATAGAAAAGGAAATCAAACAGAACTCAGTTTGTGTTTATTATTTATTAGCTTAATATACTTCTGTTTTCCAAATATGGAGTGCAAGGCAGCTCACATTAAGACTGAATTTTAAAAATATAATGAAAATGAAAAGCAAATTATATATTAAAATACAAATAAATAACACAATTTAAAGACCAACACTAAAGAAAACATAAAACTTGTGAGGCTAAAAGTCCATCCCTTTAAGAAACTAGTAAATTGCAAAAACATGTCTGAATACAAAAAGGTTGCTGGCTGAAAGATAACACAAAAGAGGCAGTGTAAGTTTTCCTGTTCATACTGTTTGTATAGCTGTCCAAGCAATGGTCTCAATGTACTAGACAGAAGTGTCACAAATATGGAGAAAGAAATAGTTTCTTATATTCCTATTTAGAAGCATTTGTCCTGTATGTCATTGTGGGCAAGTTTAACTAAGGATACTGCTATCTGCATGCCAAGTGAGTAGAAGGGAATTCAATGCAGCTTTTCTAGAGTTCCCCTTAAAGAGAAAACAGGTGTCTAAATCCAACTCTGAATACTTTCCAAAAGAGCTGTTAAATATATACACATGACTACACTAGCTGGATAGTTTGGTGGGTTGGAAATCCTGATTGCAGAGATAGATGTCAGGGGCTCAATTTCATACACTGTCTCCGTAGAAGATCCAGACTGTGTAGTCTTGGGAAAGATGTACAGTCATTGAGTGCCACCAGAAGAAGAATAGTAAACAAATTCTGATACTTTATATCCAGGAAACCCAGCAGAGGTTGCCATACATTGAGATTAACTTGATGGTACATCGTTATTGAATTTTTAATTGCGGTGGTGGAGGAGACACTTGAGAGTCCCCTGGACTGCAAGGAGAACAAACCTATCAATTCTAAAGGAAATCAACCCTGAGTGCTCACTGGAAGGACAGATCCTGAAGCTGAGACTCCAATACTTTGGCCATCTCATGAAGAGAAGACAACCTGAAAAAGACCCTGATGTTGGGAAAGAGTGAGGGCAAGAGGAGAAGGGGACGACAGAGGATTAGATGGATGGACAGTGTCATTGAAGCAACCAACATGAATTTGACCAAAATCCGGGAGGCAGTGGAAGATAGGAGGGCCTGGCATGCTCTGGTCCACAGGATCACGAAGAGTTGGACATGACTTAATGACTAAACAACAACAACAACATTATTATTATATGTCTGACTTTCAACAGTCAATATTAAGGTGGTATATGTGAAAGACTGATGGTGGAGTTTAACTGTCACTTTTCCTTGTTCCTACCTGATAGGTGTATGAGACAGAAATCAAATTAGATTTTGATATAGACAATGGAGCACCAGTTTCTAGTCCCTACGGGTAGTTTATGCAGTTTTACATAGTAGCTCCTTTTGGATAGTACAACTGATTTCTGACTAAATGTACTTTTTGATTAATGTGGTAGATTCAAACCTACCATCTCCTTCCCTGCTTGTAATACAATGTGTGGATGAATGAAAGTTTCCATGTCTGAGTGATTCTGCTTGAGTATCCATGCCTAGTGACTTTGTTCTTGGACATTGTGGGGGTAGCAATTATATTTCTCTAAATTATTCCTAAAATCACTAATTCATGCACAGTCATGCAAATAGAGAAGCAAATTTTACATCAGTTTGGAACAGATCATTTGAACAACAGTTTGGTTAGCTTATAATGTTGATTGTTGTCCCCATGCCATCATTGGTTTGCTAACTTCAAAATCAAACATTTTCTTAACGGCAACAATCTCTTGGCCAGGGGACAAACTCAACCAGCTCTTGGCAGGTCCAAGAATGTATCCCAATGCAAATACAGTGGTGCCTCGCTTAACGATGTTAATTCATTCCAGCGAAATCGCTGTAGAGCGAAAACGTCGTAAAATTCACAACACTCCATTGCTTAACAGCTCTTACTATCAAAATGTTTAGTGAAATCCCCATTCTTGTAACTGGAGTCTGTTGGTTTGATTCCAACCTTCTGGAGCCACAGAAAACAAGCTGGTTCCATACTACATGCTACAGCCTTTTAGAAATTTGAAGACAGCTATCATATCATCTCTCTGATATTTCTTGTGCAGGCTAAGCAACCCAGCTCCATCAACTGTTCTTTGTAGAACTGTTTCCAAAACTTTTACCATTTTGATTGGTTTCCTCTGAATATCTGGTATCTTGTAGTTTTGTAAACTATGGTGTCTGGAACTGGACACAACTGGGATAGGTTTCTAGGACAGCGGAAAGGTTTTTAATTCAATAATGCTTTCTCTAAATCACTGCATGGCCACAACAAGATAAACATGTGGTTTTTCCAACTTACTCTCAATATTTTCACAGTAGATAATTGCTAATGGGAAATGCTATGAAGTTGACACACCTTCCTCTTTAGATTACTTTTTCTAAAGAATCATTCGTAGTAGAGCTGTTCTTGGGCTACAGTTCAGAGAACCCTAGGAGTTATAGTGCAAAAACCAAATCTGCACAGCTGTAATTCATAACTTTTATAGCCTTGTAACACACATACAATCTGGGTGCTCAAAGATTTCATTTCTTTTAAAAATCTGATAAAGATTTCTTTCAAATTGTAGCCGTGAAGATTTCCAACGCATTCCAGAACTTGCTATCAATCCATTAGGGGACCGGATTATCAATGCTTTTTTTCCAGAAGGGTAAGTTACATAATGTATATTTTATCAAGTACATTTTGTTGCTTGAATTGAGTTCTTGTAGGACAAACCTAATATAAGGATTCTTAAAAGCCAGTCTTATCAAACTAATCTCCTGAGAATTCAGATACAATGTAAATGATTAGCAAGTAGCAAAAATTCTTTTGTATTTCACCATATTTTTTTATTAAAAACAGTAGTGATTTCTCAAGATTGCTGTCACTTTTGTCTTAAGTGACCTGCCCAAATCATTAGATGTTTAATACCCTTTACTAACTGAAATCTCAGTTTAGAAGCTTCAAGTACTAGCTATTTGAAGTATCTTTGAATTTAGACATTTCTTAGACTTGGGCTGACATCCTTTATCGCTGCTTTCCATTTATCAAATGATGTGAAAAAAAGTCTACATCACCCCATTCTATTTCAAAAAAACTCAAGGCTTGAACCCATGTGGTATTCCCAATTAGAACAGATCCATTGGCTGCAATCCTGCAACCAGAGGTCTGCATGTGCAATGGTGACGATGTCAGCAGCAGCAAATTGACACTGATTACAGGCAATGTTGGGATGCATATAACTTGCATACAAGGCAACAAAATCACGTGCATCCTAAAATCATCAAAAAGAAGTCCTTAATTATCACCATTGTACATGCAGAGATGCGCAACAGGATTTCAGCCATTGTATCAATGGAATTTGTGTAAATGTTGAGTCATTACAGCTGTTGGATTTAGGCCCAAATTACAACTCTAGAGCTGAAATCCTGACTATTTCCCATTGGAGGCTACAGCTTATTTCATGTGATATACTCTCACACTTTTGAGATGGTAGTTGAAGTGTTCATTGAACAGCAACACAACTTTATTCTGAGATAATTGAGAACGCAAATCAGAGTGGTGATCAGGAAATAATTACAAAGAAATTGAATGCTTTGCTATTGTATGCACTCCAGTAAATATATATTAAAAATAGTTATTTGAAGCATATTGTGAACAGATTCATAGCTATGATTAACTGTTTACCCATGTGTAGAGAAGATCAGGTGAATTTCCGTGGATTCATGAGGACTTTAGCCCACTTTCGACCTATTGAAGATAATGAGAAAAGCAAAGATCAGAACGGACCAGAGCCACTTAATAGCCGGAGCAACAAGTTGCACTGTAAGACAAATTTTATTTGTATATTTATTCAGGATAATTATGCCACCTGATATCCTTTCCTGCAAAGTAATCCTGATCATTAGAACCCCTTTCTTTAAATATAGTTTCAACCTGGCTAGTTTGTTTTGGCATTGGGAAGATGAACGAAAATGGCCAATGCTTGCTGGAGTTTTGCTGTTACTATGGGCTTTGTGTCAGCAAAATGTTCTTTAATACAAAGCTTCGACACAGAGTCTCTTGGAGACATCCAAGATCCAAGCATTGGCATCAGCTTGATTTGATCCTCACTAGATGCTCTAGCCTTCCTAGTATTACGATCACACGCAGTTATCAGGGTACTGATTGCGATACTGATCACTCCCTGCTGTGTAGCAGAGTAGAACTGAATAAGGAGATTGTATCACACGAAAAAGGAAGGAAGACCACGTATTGACATCAACAATACTTGCAATCAAAGAAAAGTGGAGGCATTTGCTGAAGTGCTTGAGGAAATTCTTCCAGGCCCAGCTGGTGCAAATGAACCTGAACAATGAGAATATTCCATGTGGTGGTCCTTATCCCCTGCAGCTGCCTCCCTTTCCTGGTTGGACTAAATGGTCCCAGCACCCACCTGAGGTCTGACTGTGTCCATGTCCAGCACTGCTGAAGTGCTTGAGGAAATTCTTCCAGACCCAGCTGGTGCAAATGAACCTGAGCAATGAGAATATTCCATGTGGTGGTCCTTATCCCCTGCAGCTGCCTCCCTTTCCTGGTTGGACTAAATGGTCCCAGCACCCACCTGAGGTCTGACTGTGTCCATGTCCAGCACACCTTCCAGGAGCTGCTGGGTGAGATCAGAGGGTCCACTCAGGGCAGTGGCAACCTCTCACATACTACTATGTATATTTTTAGAATCACTATTTTCTTTATAATGTTTTCCAGTTTGCTTGCACTTAGAGAGATATTAAAGAAGTTTTAAAATCTGCTTATATAAGCATGTTAAACATTGGTGTGTATCAGACATAACACATTCTACTTATTATATTTATATCCAAATGTTTTGCAAAAATAGTACTTAAGGTTGGTAACAATAACAGAATTCAAATATAAATCAATACAATTGATATATAAAAACATATCAAATTGTGTAAGAGCCAGTGTGGCATAGTGGGTAGTGTGTAGGAGTATGGCTCAAGTGATCTGAGTTAAAATTCCGACTCAACCATAGAAGCTTATTGGGGGATGGCAATGGTAAGCCACTCCTTGGAACATCTCACATGCCTCAAAAACATTGCTAGGGTTCCCATAAATCATGTTACATGATCATACAAAACAACCAACTAAAATGACAGTTAATGTAGATCAGTGTAAATTGGATTGATGGGATATAATCACTTCAAGAAATCTCACGCTTTTACTAATTGTTGAGCTACTTTATAACTGAGACTAGTCAATTGCCAAGAGAGATCAGGAGAAAGATCAGTTCAATGGGGCTGATGTGCTCTTATGATGTAGTGATAGGAAGAGATGACTAATTTTGAGTGTTACTCTTCCTTGTAGTTGCTTTTCGGCTTTATGATCTCGACAAAGATGACAAGATTTCCCGAGATGAGCTGCTTCAGGTAGGCTGAACTTCCACAGCTCAAATGACTGTTGTATATTCTTCATGTGAATCCCGGGTATTACTCCTCGGTGCATCATTCTAGGTGGGGTAGGAGGCGGAGTAGTCTGCATCCCCTTAGACGCCTTGGGGAGAGACGGCACTCCCGTGTCTGACTCCACACTGTTTTATTTTAACCTTTTAAGTTAAACTTATATTGTGCCCAGTAAGGAACTGGGCTGATGCAAATGTAAAATGTTTCCTAAGCAGTTAGTGTATCCAAGGCATCAGAACAGGGTGCTTTCTGAGTATTCATAATGCATAGAGATGGGCACGAACTGCAGTATTCAGTGGTTCATCCCAGTTCAGCACCATGCCCACATAGGTGTTACGTGGGTGCCATGCACTCCCCTCTCCCATCTCTTGTTTGCTCACCCATTCCCTGGGCAATGCATGCTTCCCTCCCTGTCACAGAGTAACTGCCCATTCGCAGATTGCCGTGTGCACTTCTCTCCTCTACCTCCTTTGGCAGCTGCCCATTCAGATGAGAAAGCAGGTCAGAGAAGCCTGGAGCACTGCCTTTGAGTGGGCTGCCACTGGAGGAGGCGGAGAAGGAAAGCACATTGTGATCCATGAGTGGGCAGTTGTTCTGGGGAGGCAGGGAGGGAAATGTGCATTGCCTGTGGAATGGGTGAGCAGGGGAGGGGAGGGTATGGCACCCAAATAACACCTATGCAGGCACAGCACTGAACTGGGCCAAACCACCGAATTAAATTATTTGTCCTTGGAATGTGTGTTACTATTGATGGGATTAACTGAACTTGAAAAGGCAACAAATATTTAACTTAGGAAATCAACCCTGAGTGCTCACTGGAAGGACAGATCCTGAAGCTGAGGCTCCAGTACTTCGGCCATCTCATGAGAAGAAAAGAGTCCTTGGAAAAAACCTTGATGTCAGGAAGGTGTGATGGCAAGAGGAGAAGGGGACGACCGAGGATGAGATGGCTGGACAGTGTCTGCGAAGCAACCAACATGAACCTGACACAACTCCAGGAGGCAGTAGAAGACAGGAGGGCCTGGCGTGCTCTGGTCCATGGGGTCACAAAGAGTCGGACACGACTAAACGACTAAACACACACACATGACTTGTGTCCTTCTGAGCTTTACAGAGTATGGTTGTTGTGGGTTTCTCGGGCTCTTTGGCCCAAAAAACCCACAACAACCATTAGATCCCGGCCGTGAAAGCTTTCGCGAATACTTTACAGAGTATTTTTGTTGCTTGGTTTAAAACAAACAAGCAGATTCTAATCTTTAACTTTGGTTTTCTGCACGTTACAGGTCTTGCGAATGATGGTTGGTGTAAACATCTCTGATGAACAGCTAGGCAGCATTGCTGATAGAACGATTCAGGAAGCTGATCAAGATGGTGATAGTGCAATATCCTTTGCAGAGTTTGTTAAGGTTAGGAAGCAGCTTTCATTATAGCATGAATCTGCTAGGTTTTCCTGCTTAAATTTGCAAGCCAATAAGTTTACAATATGCATCATTTAATTACTTGTTTTGTGCTTTGGCTGTATCTAATATATGGGCAGTATTATGTATTTGATGGTTCTGCATTAGTGAGCAACCAGTCATTTTTACCTCAATTATTTTAAATAGATGTGTATGTTTTTTTAAATTTTTCTTAGTTTAACATTTGGCTATGTTTAAGAGAAAGGAATTTGACAATCGGGTTACTGTGCCAATACTGGTAACAGTCCGAGGATACCAGCAGTGCTGCCTCAGTCTTCCATTGCACCTAAATGAGAGAGTTGCAAGGCACTTTATAGAATTAAAGTTCTATGATATACCAGCTGTTGTTACTAAGTACTGCTTTCATTCCTCATATAAATGCTGTACTGACAATTACTTAGTCAAAATACACCCAAGAATTATAATTCTGGAGCACAAGAGGATGCTGTCCACATGTGAGAGTGTCACTGCCTATAGCAAGTGTAAGAAAAGTCTGTAAAGCTGGAATCGTGTAACTAATTGCTAATAATTTTGATTTTCCACAGGTTTTGGAGAAGGTGGATGTAGAACAAAAAATGAGCATTCGATTTCTTCACTGATAAATCCAGTCCCATTCCTTGTTATCCTAATATTCAAGAAACACAATTTTACTCTTCTTTCTCCTGAGCATTGCTACTGGTGCATGTGAGGTACATCTGCAAACCTTCCCCAGTTTGTTCCATCAATGTGAACATTCCTTCTGCATCAGAACAAAGAAACATGGCTGCAGTGCAGCTTGGAATGGAGTACTGAAACTGCCTCCTCTTCATGGTTCTGTGCTTTCCTTTCTGATTATAAATAATTTTTCCCTACATACTGTGGTGTTCTGTTGTCTTACAAATTCTCAATTAGGAAAGTAGACAAATTGCAATTAAAAATGACTTAAAATTTGTTTAGGATAATGTACAATAGTCTGATCTGTGATTATTTATATGTCATTCTCCTGTTGCTTGTGCCTGCTACTGTGGCATTTTCCACGAGTTTAGAAGTCAATTTACGCATTTGCCATCCCACACCAGTTATGTGACTTGGCACGTTGCAGCAGATGCCTGTAACTGATTGCTTAATGTGGCAGTTCATTGCTGAAATTTACAATGATGAATATATGAAGGAAGAATATTTTTAGTTAGATTTTGACCACACTCCATTTGGTTTAACTTGCCAGCATAATGGAAATTATCTTTTTCTCCTTTTCTTGATTTCATTTAACTAGATTGCCACTCAGTCTCCACTAAATGGTTTAAAGTAGTAATGCAAGACCAATGGTTTTGTTTTCAGGATTAAAACTTGCAGGATTACAGTTTTCCAAATCTGTCAAATGTAATGAATTTGTTCAAAGGAACGAGACATCTGCCAAGAGTGTAAATTGTAATATAGTTTATTACTGATATTTCTTTACTATTAGAAGTTCAGTATCCTTTCTGTGATCCCCTTCCACTACTGTTTCTTTTGTAATCTGTACTCTTCACTTTCCAATTTGTGTTTTTTTATTATCTGTTTTTCGATAAATGTTTGTAACATAACTTTGTTGCACAGCTATAGTGAATATCTTTTCACACTAATTCTGCCATGCTTTGATTTTTTTAGACTTCAACATATTTGGGAAATCCCAGACTGGGAGAATGAGGAAGTACCAACTGTCCTCAAGCTATATGAAAATACTCATGATTTTTAAGATAATGTCTAGCACCTGTACAAACGTTGACCTAAAGTGATAAATTAGATCTATTTCTCTCCAAGTATGTATATGCAGAAATTAAATATCACATCTGCAGAAGTAAATATTGTTAGAACCTTAGCGCGATACAGACATGAAGTAGCAAAAAGTATGAATGGGATAAATTCTCCAGAATGGGTTGCCTTTGCTTTAAGTAAACAAATATGTTATACTAATTGTCAAATCACTTTCACAATAATTTTTGGTTGTGAAACTTAAGTTTGCAAAGTTAGGTAGAATTATTTCTACTAGGACACAGAGTTCAAATGCTTTTACCCCTTGCGGCTTTCCTGTAAGAATTTCTATGAGTATTGAGTTCATTTTTATTCAGTTTATTTAACTCTTGCACAATTCAACTGTCTTTCAAACTTGCACAAAATTTTACACTAAACTGCACAATGAGACCTCTTTCTTTTTTTATTCAATCATTAAGTTTCAGATGTGTGAGGAACAAGATTAAAGCATGATTTTTCTCAAACAAAAACACAGACTTTGGGTCATAATGGGACATAGGAATTTTATAAAGAGAAGAGAAGTGAGAAAGTACTACCAAGATGTTAAGCTTTCAGATAAGCTTCCTTCCTTTGGCTCAGTAGCTGTAATCTACATTTGTGCCTTGGTAGACCTCTTGTATTCATCAATCCATGAATAAAATTCTGAAACTTGGTCTCTGTCTTCTGTGCATGTGAATAACATGGGCCTCTCATTTAACACAACAGCAGAGTTTTAATGTGACTACTGAGAAAACTGTTCAAAGATTAGAAAGTTAAAATGGTGTGACTATTCAAGCTTTAAATGAGCTGTCTCCAAAAATGTCCAAGTTACAATAATCTGTTTAAGCAGAAACAAGTGTCTTGTGGCACCTGAGAGACTAACACAGTTTTAATTGAGAAACAAGGCTTGGTAATGTATATTATAGGACGTGTGCTGCCTAGGAGTGTGGTCCTGTTAATCCTAGCATCAGTGGGTCATTTCATTGCTCTCAGTGTCCTGATGAAAATAAAGGACACATTACCTATCCTTCATTTAGGATAAAATAGGCAAACATAGGTGTTTAAACTTTGAATAAATGGAGGGATAGAGTTGAGAGAAGAAGAAGCCAACAGAAAGTATCGCAAATAGGAAGAGCTACTATCTACAGAGACTTCCTTCACTATAAATATGTAATGAGATAGCTGGGGTGATAAATCTTCATAAAGAGAGCTAGCTTCCTTGTCCCGAAGAGTTCCGGCAATTGTGCACAGTCTATTTTTTTATTTAATGTTGCAGCACCCTAACAGTGGAGCACAATACCCTATAATTGTAGCACCTGCTTTGGTTTTTTTAACCTGCTGGTGCCTCACTCTGCCTAATAGTAGGACTTGCCTTGTTAGCTATGCTCAGTCTATAGTGCTCTGGCAAATGAATCAGAGTTCGGCTAAGCATCAGGAAAATACAAGGTCAGGGCTGCCACTGAAATTTTATTTTTCAATTCCCTGACCAATGTGTGTCAATTTACCTGACCACCATTCAATTATTACCCCAAAGTTAAAAAATGAATATGTCATGTTGCATTAATGCAAGTCTTAATGAAATGTTCCACTCTACAACTACACAAGTTTCAACTGCAAAAATACTTGTTGAAGTAAGAGATTTAATATTAGCTTTATCTTTATAATGTGCTTATCTTTATATTTAAGTTAAATGCAGTACTAGTAGGTAGGGATGAAAGCATGTTTAAATTCTGTATCTTGTTAAATGTTTAAACTAGCCTTGCTTTGCAAATGCTACAGGCAGACCTTGGAAATCATGCAGGGACAGAGCTCAACAAACACATTAGGCTGGTTGCTGGGGGTGGAGCTGGGAAAGGGCATAATTACGGTAAGTTTTACTTCTATTCTGCTACTTTATTCCAGTTGCCACAAGAACAGATCATGCTCTTGCAGGAGCAGGTCAAAAATCTGCTGCTTGAATATATTTTAATCACAATTTCCCTGACTTCAGACCAATTTCCTTGACCAATTTCCATTTTCCTAACTTTCCAAAAAGTAGCAACCCTGAAAGTGATAAATTGTGAATTCACACCCAGGAAATTGGGTTTCCCAGTGTGAATTCATTTTAGCAGATCAAAGAGGAATCAGGAGAGGAAGGAGGAAATTGCCAATCTGCACTTGTTATCATTTTATTAAGGTGGCCGCACTACAACTGTCCAGATTTGCAGGACATACAGCTACCTTAAGCTGCAAGCAAAGGCTAGCTGTAAATTTCCTTCTCTCTGATTTCCTTCTTGTGATCGCTCATTCCTTCCTTCTACATTAGTTGCTCTAGTGCAATAGGGCTGGGACCAAACTTCCAAAAACAAGCAAACCAAAAAACCCCAACCAATTTGGAGAGAAGGGGTGCTCAGTTGAGGGGAGGTGACACCCCTACAAGTTCATCTTTGCTTCTCCTCTCCTCACTTCAAACAAGCAAGCTGGAAGAGCCAGATTCTTCTTGCCAGTTGCATCAGCTGAAATATTTGCATTTCCTGAACCGATACCAATGCATTAATTTGAAAAGAAGTCTCAATAGTGGAAGAAAAAAGTACCAATTGGGGGGAAATCTCCAGGCTGATTCATATTGATTTTTATACAGTGGTTCCTCGACTTACGAACTCAATTGGTTCAGGAAGATGGTTGTAACTCGAAATGGTCATAAGTCGAAGCACCATTTCACATAGGAATGCACTGAAATGCAATTAATCCGTTGTGGCTGAAGAAAAAAAATCACCAAAAAACGAAAATCACTGCAAGACCGTTCAGAAAAGGTCCCTTCAGTTCCAGACTTGGGAGGCGGAGCTTGATCGCAGTGAAGCTAACAGCGAACCGCCCGGCCCGTCGTCCCTCTAGAAAGGGGGGAATGGAGGGGAGGCCAGGAGAGGTCACCCCCAAACAGATGGTGAGCCCAGAAGGTAGAAGATTTGGCAGCAACCGGGTCTTTCTTCCCTCTGAAAATTCACCCAAGCATGGACCGGAGACAGGAGGCCATCTTATGGCAGAAAACTGTGGGAAAACTCCACCCCCAATGCCCGAAGAAGAACAAAAATACGACTGAAAATACACAATAACAAAGTAAGTCTTTGATTTATGAATAACCTCATTAAGATGTTAAAGAAACTAAAGTGAAAATACCTGACTGAAAGGAGAGAGGAATTGGCGAGCCGGCATGCCAGCCTGTGTTTTTTTTTTTTCAAAGCGAACTTTTAAACAACAAGTTTACAACTAGCAGACTGGCTCAAGGTCAATGAGATAAGACAGTGAGACGGAAAAGGTTTTGTGTTTCTGGAAAAAAATCCCAGTGGAAATGTTAATGCTGTGCAGTTTGGACTCTTCTTACTAGTTTGAGTGGGTCTTTGAAAATAAAAGCTTGTCTTTGGAGCAGGAGGCATAAGCTTGTGGGAAGAAAAAACAGGCGACGAATTATCAGTGTGGTGACATAGATTGAAGAACTGGAGAAGCCCTCTAGGAGGAACTGACAGTGAATCATCAGCTCGTGAGCGAGAGGAATTTAACACAATAGACTGAGGACTTAAGAAAAAAAAAATCAAGGCTGGAGCTACGGAAGGACTATAATGATATTTTTTTGGAGAGACTGGTTCCCTGTGTCTGCTGTGTTCAGGCTATCTGAATGTGCTGTGGATTTTGATAATATTGCTATAATATCTGGATAAGGATACTATTTGGACAATAACTGGACAAGGAGGG